AGTACAAACCCCCATGACATGAAAGAGCAAAAGCAACAGCAAAACGGCAGGTGCGGCCTAAAACGCTCGCAATGAACCCCACACACAACACAAACCTCCACGCGCGACGCACGGACATCGCGCGCTGCCGTCCCCGGCGACCGGCTCCGTAGACCTGGCGTTCCGCGTAATGCGGCTTTGGATCCAAACCTTTGCCTAGCTATGGCTAGTCGACACTATGGGAGCCGCAGCATTCCGGCCGCCGGGCCACGGGTGTCGCGCGGCGACACATGGGCACGACGAACAAACATGTCCGATATTGCTGATGTGTGTGCCGGGAGAGGGGGAGGGCTAACATTCAGCGAAAGCGATACCCAGTACCTAAATTATGGGCTCTCTTCAACAGATGCACCAATTTCATGTGGATGAGGTGAGTTCGCAGTTATCGTGAGACAGCTTGGCGCGCCAACTCGCCCACCAGGTCAGCTGGTCTGCACCAGCGGTGAAGCCGAGGGTCGCATGGGTCGTGCTCCGCGCTGCCGTGAGATCAATTCTGTTGGTATTTTGAAGTCAATAAACTGCTGAAATGAGCCTTTGATCGAACACATGGAATAGATCATTGGCGCCATCAGTTTACAGTGGTTTGGTGGACTGTTTCCAAACCGATTGAACCCAGAAGCCTTGTCATAATATTTATCTGGGTCTACAGGCATTAAGGACATCGCGAAGCTAGATTGTAGAACGATATGTTTCATCGAAACTTGAAGATGACAATCTGCTTGAAGAACGAGTGGTCAATAATATGTAGTAACGTGGCCAAACAATGTTTGTCTGGAATTGTTCAACATTCAGTCAGAAGGGGCTAGTGATACAATCCATGTGACGTGATTTTTTGACATGTGCGCTCGCAAATGTTTACAGCAAGTCTCAACACCAGGCGTTGCAGTTTCCTTAGTCAGCGGAGCGTTGGTCCAGTGTTTAAAGGGAGTGCGTCCAATGCTTTCGGTTTTCTCAACACACGCCTAACAGGAGTTTAGCAATTTTCTATGGTTACTTTTGATTGCTAAATGTGCGTTTGAGTCTTACAACAGCTTTGATTTATTTATTTTTACCGATTCCATCGATGACCATGCGTGAACAAATACAACCCTAAAAGATATACCAGTCAGCGGGCAGGAAATGACGAACGCACTACCTTATATGTGGCAAATAACTGCGCGCTAGAGACTTAACCATTGTTTTGGTTGCTGAGCAACGTAGAGCAATCACATGCCCCTAGATTGACAATTGACAACAGCCGATTGACAATACACAATACTTGTTCCTCATTTCAGCATATAGTAGGAGGACATAAATTGGTGTGTGTCAACTGACCAGCCCTACCATACGTCTAAGCCCGTACACTCGCACCCCTCAAGGGAATGTAAAAAACCATCAACATGACGTCCGCAGCCATCACCACGCATGCAAGCTGCTGTCAGCGCTGACAAACGACATCCTCGAAAAGCCATTTGCGAGAGCTAACGATACCTTCTCAATGATGTCGATGTGTTTAGTAGTGAACGTTGCTAGGGGGCTACCCTATAACTTTGTTTTTCTATGCAAACCAAAGCGAACTTTAGGGCTGTAGCAATATCTTGTCAGTGGAGGCGAATTTGCAGAAGCCAATGACTCCAAAATTTATAAATCGAAGGTCCCTTTTTTCCTACGTGCACAGCCAAAAATCCTAACTTGACAAGACGCACTCCCTTTAACTTTAAGCCGTGGCCCACCGGTGGACGAATATAACAACGCTTCTGAAATAATTGCTTTTAAACACTTACATCGATTCGTATATCTCTATTCTCCTGTTTTTCTCTCCGAGGAATAAAGCTAATACTATTGTCTTATCTATGTGAATTATGTCCCTCGCTAATGCACTGAACAAAATACGTAAATTGATTGTTAATAGAAGTTATGTGACATAACTTTAAGCATGCGCACTCACAAATCTTAGTAACGAAACCCTCGACGCCAGGCGATGCGGTCTCCGTAGGCCGTGCAGCGTCGGCCCAACAGCTAATACTGAGCCGTGGCCAACGAGTGGACTAAAATGTTGACACTTCAGAAGGAAGTTCCTTTGAACGCTTCAATACATCACATTTTACATTAAGAAGGCAGTCTGGGCGCATATTTCACGTGTGCGATTTTTTAGACTGATGGTAGAACTGATTGGCCCTTAAAAACACCGCGAAGTGGTGCTGAAATCTGGCGGTGGAAATGGAAGAATAGCCGTACAATCCTATTTTTCGTGTTTCTACGTTAACTATTAAATCTGTCCAAAAGACAGATTAACACGGCGCCCGCTGTCTGGTGGCACTTGCTGTCGCCGCCTCCGTTCGGTTTTACCGACGCCGCAACCCAGGCCATCGCTGTCCTTGCTCTCGTGCTTGCGGGCGGACATGTTTAGACATTTTGATGAAATTTGTTTCCCTAAAAATCCAGTGTAACAGAAAAATGAACATGCCCAGGCAAGATTTGGATGGTTTTGCTCGTTTCTTTTTAGCTCATTCCGTCCCACCCTATTCAACAATAATGACACTCCCACTCTACTCAACAATAATGAGACCCCATATTTGCTTCCGAGCAGGGGGACCCTTGACAAAAACACCAGGGGCACATTACCGGTTCCGGTTAAGTGCTGAAGGGCCACTCCGTCCCATTGCGAAGTGTCTTCTGGCTGTCATTCTGGCAACGCGGGGCGGAATCTCCTGGTGGATCCGGAGGCCATTAAAAGGGATGTAATCAAAGCACATTGCTCCCCTCCACGAGACGGGAGGCCTTCTGACCCGCGCAGCTGGCCCCAGATCAGCACAATAACCCTCATTGACGCAACAACATCCCTGATCGCCGCAGGTGGTCCAATAATTGTCACAAAGACCCCAACTCATGTTTTTCTGTGTTCTTCGGAGATAGAGAGTATTCTATGAACGTAGATTGTAGATGAAAAGGGATCCTTAATCTATATTAACACGGCCTATCCATGTTTGTCTTAAAATCTTAAAACTTCAGTCCAAATTGATCACTGGTAACAAACATGTGATATGGTTTTGAATATGCGCGCTCGCGAGGCACAGCAGCAACCTCGACTCCCGGAGTTGCAGTCTCCATGGGCTGCATGGCGTCGGCCATGCTGTTGTGACATTTGGTGGTGGCGGCCAATAAGGAAACAAAAAAGATGAAGCATCTTGAGGAAAATGGTTGGTGAACTAGGTAAATCGGCATGCGTGTTTCATGTACTGCAAAAGTAAGCCAACACACAACCTTAATCTGGAAAGTGGTTGGAAATGGGGGGGAGGACACTTAACACTCCTGGGCCCCCACCTTGAAAAATGGGGGGTGGGGGAATGGCCCCTGTTCCTACAACCATAGCTAAACCAATCAGAAAATAGGGGTTGTCTTGCGATGCCAGAACTGGCTGATGCAACTGGCGGACGTGAGGCGCTGAAGGCGACTTTTTAAATATAATATCAGATAGCATGTGGGAAGTCAGGAATAGTTCAGGCTTTGGTGGAACAGATGGGCTGTGGTGAGAGAGCTCTTGCCCAAGAGGTTTAGATAGCTTCTAGTACCGTTTTGGCCTAGCGACTTTTATTAGCTCTTGAGACCTTATGTCCTTAGACATCTGGATATTTGTATCATTCTGGAGATATTTACTGCCAAGAAATATAACTTTTTACAACTTAACTAGTTTGTTAACTGACCCCAACGTCACCCGACATTCAGATAAGTTTTTGCTGGGAATATCTACACATGTCTATATACACACACATATGTACATATACATAAATATGCATATATATATATATATATATATATATATATATATATATATATATATATATATCTCTCTCTCTCTCTCTCTCTCTCTCTCTCTCTATCTGTATATATATATATATATATATATATATATATATATATATATATATATATATATATATATATATATATATGTCTATACATAAAGATATAGATGATCGCATGTATAAATTTGTATGCATAAAGATATGTATGTTTATATATATATATAAATAAATAAATATATATATATATATATATATATATATATATATATAATGTGACGGACGAAAGCCAGTGTACTGTGACAGAAGATGACATAACTTTACCAGCTTAAGCAATAGCAAAATGAACCATTTTTGCGCAGTTCAACTTCTTCCTTCAGGAACACCAAAAACTAGCTAGAAAATATGATGATGGACACGTTCATCAATAACACCAACCATTTTCGCTTTCTTTCAGCATCCGGTCACCCTGGTTTTTACTGGTTTTGCTAAATTTACGTGATCCCTCCTCTAGTTCCGCTGAAAACCGCGGCTTTTCTATGGAGCATGACTGGCACCTATACTTGAGCGTAACGTTACCCTATTCTAGACCTCCGCTCCGGCATATAATTCCTCAGTTGTGCTCCATAAACTCCCACTCTCTCTCTGTTTTCTGAAGAGCTTTATTCAATAACGTGAAGACGGACTGAAGATGACTGATAGGGCATCAGTTATTGACGTCCGCTTCGTGAGCGTCCAGAGCTAAATCTCTGTCCGGGAGTTGGTAGCCTCTCCATGTAACAGAAAATGAATAGAACATGCGTTTGCGACGCATTGCTATCTCCCGTAGTCACCAGTGTGCGCGAGATAAGGTCATTCTACGCGATGATGATGTTGCTCACCTTATCATGGTTCGATTGGATTATGGGTGGTTCACATAAATCCAGCCTTTCACGGAAAATGACCAACTTCAAATGCGGGTGCTGGATTTGCCTTGCTGATGTTTGTTGAACGGTGGGTGGGTATGGGACAGCCACGTGTCACTGAGAGCATGTCTACCGCGTTGTATGGCGAAAATGTAGGCTTCATCAAACCATGGCAGCAACCAACGGTGGTGTGCCTGGAGGCTTGGTTCCAGTCACTTTCAGGTATACTGGGCTAGTTTTGAAGCTTTGCGGACAAAGTGATGTCCAGCCAGACTTGTACTCGGAAAGGCTCAATGTACCACCAATGGTAATGAACTGTGTGGTTACGGCGCTGAGTAAAACGCACTGTTTTGATTTTGTTGCGATTTCTAACCACATCAATGCTCTTCGTCTCGAAAATCACGTAATACTTGAAGGCTAACCGATTTTCTTTGACATCTTCGTGTGATTTATTCGCCTGCCACCGAGGCTGTTTTAGTCGTTACGAAAAATAAGACACTTGTTATGATGCGTGCTTTACACCTGATAAAGTGTTGAATAAGATGAAAGCCACAGTAAAATGGCTCATGTTTGCGACAATTCTGACATGTATGATGATAACCAGCTGAAAGAAGGCAACACAAACGTTATTGCCGTTTCTGTCCGCTTATATGCGTACTCAAGTATCACGTTAGCCGTAGCTCCACCTAGCATCTCTCTTTCTTCCCTATAATCGATACTCATGCGCAGAACAGGCTAAGCAGATGGGCCTTGTGAAACGTTATGCCGGAAAAAAACTAACCTTCTTCGCACCCGAAGACATTGTATAAACGAAAATATCATGTTGTCACCGTGATATGTTGCGAGATTATTCTTTGCTGGGGATCGCACAGTCCTCTATGTTGTACGTTAAATTCCAGCTACATATCGTAATGCTTTCTTAATTTTGTATTTAACCAGTGCCCCTGGTGTGCTAGAAGTCAGGCACTTTTAGCACAAAAGCTCACTATGACGGAACACCAAGGCCATTAGTCCGCCATGTTTATGTCGAAAATCCGTGTCCATTTAAGATCAATACAATGATTCCACTCCGTCAATTTAAGCGTCCGTCCGTTCAGAGCTGGCCTTCAGCTCATCTCCCCGCCCCCGACTGCTCGTGCTGCCACTTGACGGTGGTCAAGCTGGCCGCGGGCAGCGTCAGATCCAGGTGACCCTTGACCGGGTCGGTGAGGCTGATTTCGGCCTCTTGGTCGGCCTGGTTGAGCAGGGTCGCCACCATATGACCGTCGGGTGTCAGTGCAGCCATGGCCAGCACATGGCCCTCTTCCGAGGCGGCATCCACCACCGTCGAGCCGGGCGGCAGGAAGGCGGCGAAGTGGCCCATAGCGTAGAACATGGGCTGCTTGTAGAAGCGCTGTTGCTCGGCGTCCACAATGACAGGCGAGTCGACGAAGTTGCTGACCCAGTTGGGACCACCGTTCATGTCGAGCGCGATGTTCCAATCGACCCAGCCGGTGACCCAGTGGTTGAGATCGCGGATGATGTCGGCCGCATACGTCTGCGCGCGCCGCCAGCTGCCCAGTTCCACCTTCTGCGGCTCCCACGGGTAAGAGCCCTCGCATGCCTCAGTGTTGAGCAGAAACTTGTTCGGATGGCGGTCGTGCGTCGCCGTCAGCGCGCTGGCCGGGAAGAACGGATCGCCGTACCAGTGTATCGCAATGCCGTCCACGTAGCTAGCCGTCTCCTCGTCGGCGAGCACGACATCCGCCCAGGCCGGCAGCATCTCGCGCTGGTCGTCCAAGATCATGACCTTCGTGGCGTTGAAGGCGGAGGCGCGGAGCGTCGGCCCCAGGTTATCCCGCACCCAGGAGCCCTGCGTCTCGGCGGTCCATCCCATGCAGTTGAAAGAAAATCCGGGCACGAGACCATCGACGGGCTCGTTCTGCGTGGTCACGCCCCATATGGGCACGCCGGCGGCCTCGTACTCCTCCAGGAAACGCACGAAGTAGTCGGCCCACGTCTGGTAGTACTCGGGCAGGAGGTGCCCGCGCCCGTTCAACGCGTTGTTGCTCTTCATCCACGCTGGCGCCGACCACGGCGAGGCGAAGACGCGCACCTTGCCGGCCGTGAGGTTGAGCGCCAGCTGCAGGTAGGGCAGCTTGTACTCAGTGTCCTCCCGCGTGAGGGAAAAGTTGGCGAGCGCCGTGTCGCCGGGCACGTCGTCGTAGGTGTAAGGTCGAGTGGAGAAGTCGCAGCCGGCCATTGGCACCCTCGCGACGCTGTAGCCGATGCCGTCGGCACCATAGTACGAGCCGATGAGCCGCGCGCGCGCCGCGGCCGGCAGCTGCGCCAGGTTCACGCCGGCCGCGTCGGTGAAAGCCCCGCCGAAGCCGAGCACCTGCTGGCGCGCCGCCGCGGCCGAGACTCGCACGCGCGCCGGCCGCACCCGGTTGGCGGCGCGCAGGTCGCTCGTCCACTGAGCGTCGGACACCTGGAAGCGAGCACCGGCGCGGGAGGAGGTGACCACAACGGCTGTACCGGCGGCCGGCGCCGGCAGCGGCGGCAGGTTGTCGCAGTAGGTGGCGTTGCAGGCGCACACCACGCTGTCATGGTTGAACTTGAGCGGCTCGCATGGCCGGTACTCGGCGGAGGTCACCGCCAGCGTGGTGGCGCTCAGCGTGAGAAGGACCGGCAGTGGTATGGTCTGCAGCAT